AGCACAGAACTCCCTGAATATTCAGCTGTGACCAGGGCCTCTCTGTGTTAAGTAAGGGTATTGTTTTATAAAGAACTTAAACCAAAAAAAAAAAAAAAAAAAAAAAGAGTATTTATTCACTTATAACTAATACCTATATATGCAATTCCTTGTCACTTTGTGGGAAATAAAAGTCACCCTGAATAGCTTGGTATGGTAAGCTATAATGGGTTTATTTAAAAATACAGCTGTCCTCTCTGTGTACCATGATCTTCTAGTGTTGTTAAAGAGCCTCTGTCACCAGGGCCTGAAAGACTTAATATACGGCGTTTATTATGATTAGAAATCATTTGTACAGCACTGTAAATTCACACAGCACTTTCCCAAGAACATTTATAAGTCTAATAGCACTATAAATCCCCGTTAGCTTCCGCACTTTATTCCCCAGAATCTCTATTCATTCAAACGATCTCGTCCCCCCACTGCAATCTCGTCTTTGAATACATCAAGCTACAGTTCCACACTGGGCTGCCCAGTGACAGACTAGGTGGATTGCTAACAAAGCCCACAACTATATACTTCAAGAACAAGGTTTTACTATTATAACCAAACGTCCCTAACAACAGCATGATAATGACACAGATATTTGGCTTTCAAAGCACACTAGCAACGATTGCTGCTTTCGTGTTCCTGTTCGCAGTGAAAAGCCCCAGCACACATCAGCGCTTCTCTTAATTCTTGCGATTTGCATTAAATCGCTCAAGCACACATGCAACCAGCAGCGGGCCCTCCCCCTGTCACGCCACACGTACTTGATGCTGTCGGTGTGCGTTTTATATTCCATGATGGTGTTGGGAGGTAGGTTGAGCACTCTTCGTAACGTGTCACGTATCCGGGCTGTCGTGGCCTGGTCGCTGGCTGTCTTGTTCCATATTGAGATAATATCCTCCTACAGAATAGTATGCAAGAGGTAAGCAGATGGCATTTCTTGTAGCCCTGCCAAATGGAAGCACATGCCAGTCCTCATAACAGCTTACCTGGAATCGGACAGAGACGACTGCCCCACAGATTTCTTCCCCCACCATAAACTGTTCTCCCAACATTGCCAGAATGAGATTCTCCCAGCATCGTGACGCTAAGCCCTTCCGCAGACGGATAATCCATTTACCACCATTTTTGTTGGCATCATCCTAGGAAGAGGGGCAAGAAATCGATTTGTTTTCTTCTAGCTATTTTTCTGCTTTCCACAAGACAGCAGAGCCACAGATGGGAGCAGATATTGATTGGGTGGGGCACTAGGGACAGAATGAAGGTATTTTCAAGCTAAAGCATTATTACTGCTGCCCAACACAAGCAGAGAGGGAGGTGTACCATTTATTTTGAATACAAAGTATTTGAACCAATGACGTAAAGCTTTCCAGAGAAAGCTTTACACACTGACAACTCAAGCTCTAGTGTTTTGACTCCACTAGCAAAGACTCTACACCAGGCCTACCGTCTGCACACAAAACCAGAAGGCAAGAACCCTAAGCTTAAACCAGAGACTGACTCTCCCTCTGTCTAAAGTGAAGTCACTTCCCTGTATGTGTAATTCTACTTGTAAAACACGAATATCCCTCATTACGGAACATGGAAAGTAGGGAAACACTTTGCAAAGTGCTATTGAAAAGCAAATTGCAGAAACACTTTCCTTCCACGTTTCCGGCAACGTCCATTCAAATTCAAGTTCTTTTGCTCACAAGTAGTGTAAACACAGAATCAGTTCTTTCTGTCACACACAGAGCTGAAGATTTGGTCCAGATTGCGGTGGCCCAAGGAAACCCCCAGAATGAGGGGGAAGGACAAAGGGACAAATGTAGGCTAAGCATTAAATCTGTCATCTCGATATTTCACACGTTGCACCTGAAAAAAACCTGAAACTACAGACCACCCTGCATCAAAGCACACACGTCCACGTCAAACAGCAGTTCCTATCTGCAGCATATAGTGGCATTCCCTTGTATGGATGGCATTGTAACTGGGAAGTCTTATGAGGCAAGATGGGCATGAATTCCATCTAAATCAAAAGGGAGAGCGGTAGGAACAAGTCAAAGAGAAGACAGTTAGGAAGGGAAGATGACAACAGGTCTAGAACAGAAATAGGAAAGAACACAGGAGAATTCAGAGAGGACTACACAACACAGAATGCCCCTAGCCAAATCATCAGCAATCCCCTCTCCCAATCTAGGACACACCGTAAACATGCTAGCTGAGACAGTCCAAGTATTTACATCTTAATGAAACAAAATTCACTTCATTTTAGCTTTAAAGTTTCTTTAGGGCTCAGATAAAATTAAACATTTGGGTGCTCTCAAAGAGAAATCCTAATGAAGCAAACCCAAACAGACATGGAAGTGCTGGCATAACAGCAGCAGTCACCAGTCCCCGGGTTTCCAAGTACGAGCCAAAACCCATTCTGAAAAGAGAAGGTGTCAGCTCTGGGCAAATCCTCGAAGCATGACAGCAGCCCCACGCAAGGTGAAGAATCCAAATCAACACAAGTTCTAGGAATGTGGCAGACTCTCAACAGATGCAAGTATTCTGATCAAGTATCCTTGTTTTCCAAGTTATGAACATTCCACTCTTCAGAATTTAGCCATCTAGACTTTGGCCTTTAAGCAGGGAGTTGGGATAAACTTCTCCAGAGACATTCCACACTGACTGATGGAGACAGAAAAGTCAGAAAAGAAAACGATACTGCTCAAAATACTTCAAAGGTGGTTTAAGCAGGCTCAAAGCTAGAAAAAGAACAGTACTTGGGAGGCAGATGCTGTATTGTGTGTTTTATGGTTATTGTTAGTATTCTTTCAGGTTAAACAAGCTTCGGTTCAGTCAAGCATTTGATTTCCCTTTACTAGAATAATAATGATCTGCAGCACAGTAAATCACACGGGAACATAATGCTTAGTGCTTCTGACTTTACCCAGAAAAGGCAGAGAAGGGTCCAGAAAAAGATCAGAGCCACATACAGAATTTATGTGTGGGAATGGCTCCTCATATATGCACCTACAAGGACGACAGTAAGTAGGATTAGCATGGAAGAGAAAGGAGCACAAACAAAGAAAGCCCTACAAAGCAAGGAGCAAAGAGAAGGCCAGCCTCCAGATCCCAGGTCCTCTTCTCCAAATACAAGAAGGGAAAGGGACCAGAGCTTAAAAAACAACAAAAAAAAAACCCCAAAGCAAAAAAACCCACATCTTAACATGGCTACAGGATAATGCTTTATACAAATTCTGGTATCATTAACCTGTGGAACCTCTGGTTAACATACTATCAGAGCAGCTAGCTCACTAGGAGTCCAAAGAGGGTTAAACATTTTGTATAAATTGTATTTGCAGTAACTGGCTATAAAACACCTTGCTTAAAGTAATTGCCAACTAGGGTCACATATAAATTTCTCAGGACCATGCAGCATAATTAGGTACGTCAGAGCAACACATAAAATTCTCATATTGTGAATAGTATTGGTCATTGCTGGAAGCGGGCCAAGAACCAGAAAAATGATTCGTTAGGCAAAGATTTTTTTTTTCTTCTTCTTTTTAACAGTTTGGATATGAATGAATAGACACAAACCAAGTGCCTTGGAAATAGAAAGGGAATGAAGGACTAAGCTTTCTTTTCATCCCCAGCTCTACGTACAGTTGCAGGGCTTTTAACCCCATGCACCTCTTCCTTCCTTCATCTGAAGGAGGAGGACTGGTTTCTTATGTTTGTTGAATTCCCCTTACAGAGGCTCAGTCCTTTTAGAGGAAAGCACCACACTGCTGTCATTTGCTGAAGCTATAACAAGAGGCAGACATCAATATCTAGGAGGCATAGAGCTTAGCTGGGATCCTTCAGGCAATGCTGCCCAGAGATCCTCCAGAATCCACAAAGGCAGTTCTGCAGCTTTTGGGGGAGTGCTGCTAGCAGCCCTCTGCATCTGCCCTCTCCTCTGCCAGCAGTTCACAGAGCTGCCAGGTTAGATGGAACAGAGCTCTGAGGACAGTTTTAAGGACAATCCAAGAGAAAAGCTGCTTCCAGGGGAAGTCTGGCGTGCCATTTAATGACAAAAGTCCCTTCTCTGCAGAAAGTTACTTCCAGAATACTCTGGGAAAATATCAAGGCAGAAATGAGAGCTCCAACTCACCTCCCACATGGGTTTGATCCCCTCTTTGAAAAGATGGAAGTCACTATGGCCTGTCAGGTCCCCAGGACGCACCATGTGACTGTAAAACCGCCAGAACTGCTCCACCTGCAATGACACAAACCACGCAGTCAGGCTGCCCACACTGTTCAGAGCTAAGTCTCCTACAAAAACAGACTCCTCGTTCTATACCAGCTGAAGGAGGCCACCTTCCCCTCTTGTACTCTACTTCCTTGTCACAGGGGTGTTGAGCAGGACACCCAGAAAGCACTCATGGGATGAGTGCTTGGGATGGAAGCTGTTTCTGACTGGCAGATGACCATTTGAGATATTCAACAGATGCCTCCACAAGCTACTTGTTTTTTGTTAAAAGAAATCTATGCTGGGATAACCACTGCTCTGGAGAACAGTGTCTTGTAAATCCTACCTCCCAAAGTCAATTAGTGGACACATTAAGTGCATCAGCTACAACCAAGCCTCTTTATGCATACCAGATTACACTAGCCCTGCATTAACCACTGTTCTCTGCCATAGCAGGGAACGCAGAAACTGAGCCTCCAAATGAGACATTTTTTATATTTGAATTTTTGTACCCGGGTTTTAAGACAATAGACACATTCTGGTACTTTGTTGAAGATTTTAAGAGGCATAAGCTAAAGCTTTTATTTAAATGTCTCTTATTTCCTTTTACAATCTGTCACAGTACACTTTGACCACTTCAAAAACACCAGTTTTCATAACAACATCTCCACATTCACGTCAAACAGTCTAGTCTGAAGGCAACGGAACTACTTTTTTAAATATTAAAAATAAAATATTTATCCTTTGAGATTCTCTGAACGAGAAAGAATTTTAGAGAGGTTGGATCTTTAAAACAAAAAGGCACCAGGGGAAGATTCTAGTAATTTCCACATTTGAAGAGAACTATACTCAGTAAGACAATAGCTATTAAGCAGACCAGCAGGGAAGCCGCAGGGGTTAGAAATCATCCTGAGTACTTTATCAGAGAGACCCTGATGACTTGGTCACCACTTGGAATTCTGCTCCAGTCTCTGATCTCTACTGTCCAAGCAGGAATTTCCTTTTACAGCCAATATAATTATGAACCAAGACTGAGGTGGGGTCAGAAGCAATCTATTTTTCTCAGACGCATCCAAACGCAGTGTAGAAATTAAATTCTTACAGTGAGTGAATATGCCCTCTAGCGGTTAACGTTTAAAAGCTTTCAGGGCATTCTAATCAAAAGCAAAGACTACATCTGAACCCTGATTTAGCCTCAGAAACTTCTTTCTGAAACCTGTTTTCTCTCCACCTTTAACAGAATATTTGGAATCAAACACGTTAACAGATCTTCTGGCCAATGCCGCCCATCCTAACTGAGATCAAGCATTTCTAGCCCACCACAGCAACCACAAATTCTTTGCAGCAAAGAGCAGACAACAGAATGTGTGAAGTTTGTCCTCCAAGGACCTAAAAATCAATTTTAAGTCCATACTGATTTAAAGAACAGTCTGAAAAGTTATTGCCAGATCACCATACAGCAGCCACACTCAGTCCAAGCAATTTGGGCTTGCTGTCATGACAGCTGGGAGAATACATACATAAATTGTTCATTCACTGAATGAAAAAGCAATTGATAACATAGGAGAACAGGAGCAGGAGCTACCTGTGATTCAACATGCTTAGAGCTATTCTTCCCATTCTTACCCTGTGCAGATGCAATAACACAAGCTAGCTGCCCAGACAGGCATCTTTTTGCAGCCCCCATAAGGGATAAAGGGATATTTTTACAAATTCCAGCATTGCAGAAGAGAGATTTACTGATGGGAAGAATTAACATTTGCAGGAGACCCTAGACCATCTGGAGGAAAACGTAAGATTTAAAAAAAAAAAAAAAAAAAAAAAAAAAGGCAATTCCTCTGCTGTCCTAACAATCAAGTTCCCGAAATAACCCAAGCAGGCACCAAGCAGCCAATGGACTTGAGAACAGCATTATATTTGGTGCCTCTGCAACTAAGGACATGTTTTTTCCTGTGTCTCTTGGGATCTTAATGACTATTTCAGATTATCGGTACTATGCAACAATCCAACATTGCCCTTCCAGGGTATGCTCAAGTTATTCTAGCAACAAACCATCAAAAAGAGTGGGAGGGGAAGGGACAGCTGTTTGCCTTCAAATAAACTTCACTGCAACACCAAACCACACCTCAATCACTTTCAGACAGCTAAAGGACACAAGACCATCAGCCACTTTTACGTATAGCAGACCAGACGCCTGTTCCAAATATACCGTTTGTGGTGGAGATACAGACAAAAAACAGGCTGTACAACTACACAGCATTCAAATTCCACACACAGAAAAAGCTGTTCCCTTCTTCTCTTTGCTTACCCGCCAAGTTCCGCTCCAGCTATCCAATTTAAGCTAAACAGGAGTTCTTTTCACTTGCTATTATTATTCCAGCTTCCACCATTACTGCAGGCACTGATGTCTATCTAGCACAGGGCAAAGGAGAACTGCTTTAGACATGTCACCTGCTGCAGGCAATTCAAAATCTCACCTGTAAAATCGTGGCACATCACTTTCTCTCCTCTGCCCAACACGAAGAGCAGAGCATGCACGTGCATATCCCTAACAAAGAGGAGTTAAGCCAGCCAAGACAACCACACCATGCCCAGGTGACAAGAACAACAGGAACATACTCACTGAGGCAAAGGTGCCAATCTGTTTGATGTTCTGTTCATAACTCTGCGAGCTTGTAGGCCTCCCAGGTGTTCGTCTGGAGTACCAAAAAGTGTAATTATACTGCAGGGGGTGCTCAGCTGGCCCTGGGACAACAGCCTGCAGAACAGAAAAGCTTGCTTATTCCTTATTCACTCCTCTAGAAGGGGAATGGGAAAAGTAACATCCAGGGCATCAGTGGTCTACATATTCCCGCCCCTACCGAGTGTAAAACAAACAACTCATCCTCATTTTCATAGAAAAATACCATCTCTGTTAACTATCTGGCATGGACCATTAGGTTAACAGCAGCTGACTCTATTTCAAAAGAATAATAGAAATTTGCAGTACAGGGATGGCTAAGGAAGTAACAAAACTTATGCTTGAGGGAGTGTCACGCAAAGTAACCCTCATCATAATTAAAGACAGTATTACTAAGTTTTTGTTTTAGTCCTTGACTGTGAGTTTCTCAAAGGAAACAGATAGACCAACTAAAGGGGCAGTAGAAGAGCTTAATTTTTTTAATTAAGGAAAAAGAAAAAGCCATTCTCATTCCCTGAGAAGAGCAAAGCCCATTTACACTGAATCATGATCCAAAAGCAATTATAACTCCCTGGTGACAGCAGCTCCCCCAAGCAACCAACACCCTAAGACTCTGGAAGGATTAGTCTGTCTCAAAACTTGTTATGTCAGCTTTGGCAGAACCCACTGCTAACAGTAGGTAGCGATCACTTTCCAGTCTCCATCCACTTGCAATAAAAAGGTTTCTAAAGAGCATAAAATGGGTAGATGAGAAGTCCTTACCCTAGAGTCGCAAGTGCCAGGAGAAAAAAAAAAAAAAAAACCCAAAACACCAAAAACCCATCACCTTGCATCACTTGATATTGTTACAAGAGCAAGTAGGGTTTAAATCCCTACTCTCCACTAGCCTACAGCAAGTTTATAAGGATTGTATTACTTCAGAGAGTACAGTCTTCCTAAGCACAAGATAAAAAACAGGATGGGTATTTGCCTTCCTAACTAGGCTACTTTACCCTCATACAGATCCCGTCTTAAGGATTATTTCAACAATGGCAAAAAAGCATAGCTTGGAAAGCCAACTGCAAGTCACTACTCAGTCAGTCAGTCAGTCAGTCATTCCCCCTTCCTCTCCCCACTTCCCCATTCAAAAGCCGGCCAGAGCATTAGCTGCGTTTGTGAAAGGAGCATTCACCCCTCAGATCATATACCCCGAATGCTATGTCAAGTTAAACAAATGCTAACACAGCCCCCCATCTTCATTACAGCAGTAACAGTATACAAAGTGACCATAGCACACTAAGACGTGTTCTTCTTATCCCCGCACTGAGAACACTCTAGCGTTCCACCATCACGCCCTAGTGACAGAACACAGGTGCCAGCCCCTTACCTTCCTCTTGGTACTACTCTGTGGTTTCTCTCGATCATTCTTTTCCTTCTCACTGTCTTTCTGTGTGTTGTTCTCCTCGTTCTGGTCATGATCTCCACTATCATCATCCTTCAAACTGGTTAATGAAATAAAGAATGAATGACAGTCCTGTACGTCACAATCGAGAAGCCTCATCAGCCCCTGCTTCTAAGCTCCTATGTCACACAAGAGCCACCCGCGCTTGGAAAGCTACACTTGACAACCTACACAGTGAAAACTACGGATGGGATTTGTCATGCCCAGAGCCCATCACAAGCACCTTAGGTACACACTTTTAAGCAGAAGCCTGCAACAAAATGCCTTTTTAGGACAAAGTCAAGCACTTCATAACGGACAGAGATCTGCTGCACAAAAACCTGACTGCTTGGGAGGCAGACAAGGCGACCACCCACCGCAGTTTTGCTGACTCTCAGCCACCCAGCTCTCCCCGCCCCTAAGCCTAGCGGAGACTGTCCCCCGGGCGGGCAGACACCACGCCGGCACCCTGCGCCCCACAGGTCTCGCCGCCCGCCCCCTTCCCTGCGAAGGGCCGGAAAAGAGGAGAGAGAAGTGGGGCCAGAAGGCGGACCCCCTCGTCGCGAGCAAGGCCCTATGCCGCCAGACCCACCCACCCCCCCCGAGCCCGCTCTCCTCAGGACC